AAAAGCCGAATGACATTTTTTTCCGAACGACGCCGATGAGTAGTGCCGTTAGCTAATCTTGACTTGACTAACCACGAGGCCTCTTTTGGCCCACCGCCTACTCTAAAATATAAAGGGCGTTATTCACACCTTCCAAAGGAGCTAAGGGTTCAGTGCCTATCTAATGTCATAAAACAGACACCTGCAAATGTGCGACTTAATACATTTGCTTTTACAGCGTGTACCTGACGGGTTGCGTGTTCTCCTGCTCACAGGCGACGTTTCTGTACGGTGACTCGCCGTACAACCGGCGGCACAGCTGCGCGGGCGCGCTGGTCTCCCCCAACACCGTCCTCACCGCCGCCCGCTGCGCCGCGCTGGGCTGGTACGACCAACACCGGTCGCACGTTCACGTTCACATTCACATTTTGGACCGGTGCCTCACCATCCTTGTCTGTCTCCACAGTCTACCCCTAAAGCGCGTGCACCTGGGGGAGCCGGAGCGGTGCGACGGCGTGGGTCTGGCGCACGTGGAGAAGGTCACCGTGCACCCTGAGTACCGTCCGGGACGCGCCTACGCCGACCTTGCCGTCGTGAGGCTGACCAGGTCCTTCGACCTGCGGGACTTTTTACCGATGTGCCTCAACACGGAGGCAGACGTGCCGATCCGGGCGGGCCTGCGCGCCACCGGGGCCGCCTGGAACACCGTCGGCACCTGTAAGTCGACCTCACAGCTCTTAAGGGGTGTTCAAAAACCCCGTGGCCTTCACGGGGGTGGGGATCCAAGTATGGGGTCGCAAACGTCTCGAGACAGTCATTTGAATCCCTGGAGACCCCATGTACGTCGAGACACAAAAATTATGATCCCCTTTACCGCCCTAAACCTTTTGGGGTTATTCGGGGAGACCCCGTTACGTTTGCCCCCCCCTTTCCCCAGTTTAGACCTCCTGGCTCCTGAACGGACCCTTGATGTGCATCAAAACCTCGCACGACGCACATCTTTTGTATAACGCGCCCCTGTAGGGGAGGAGATGATCTTGCAGAAGCCCAACAACACCCTAACCGTGCGCTCCGCCGAGCGCTGCTCCGCCGCCCTCCTGAAGCACGACAGGCTGCGCGGGGCGCTGCCGGAGGGCTACTCACCTTCCCTGCTGTGCGCGGGCGGGCTCTGCGACAACGAGACCTACGCGGTGAGGAAACTCAGTAACTGACCGAACGTTTAGAATTTATTCTATCTAACAGTTAAGTAAATTTTGAACAAAAAAATAACCTAATTTGGCTATCATTGAAAGGAAAGTTCTAAATTTCGCAGTAATTATCTTCAAGTATGGAATTAAAAGTTTAGGAATAACATATTTAGCTAAGCCTCAGGTTAATCTGTGCTATCCCATCACATTCATTTCGCAGGGGGACTCGGGCACACCGCTGCTCTCCTTCAAGCACACCCTCCTGGCGCCCCAAGGTCCGTTTGCTGTCGACTACGTCCTCGGTATCGCCTCCTCGCTGTCGTACTGCACCGTCCGGGACGCTGACGGCTACCTCCTGCCAGACTTGTTCGCCGACGTGAGCCAGCACATAGACTGGATCGAGCGCATAGTCTGGCCTGGCAAAGCTGTCTGATTCTTTATAAGCGTATGATGAATAAACTAAAACCAGTAACTATCAATCTCATGAAAGCTTATGATTAGACCCAACGTCCACAATTATTGTCGGTATCCAAACTAACAGTGATATAAATGTAACACAGATCGACAATTAGCAGCAATAACATTATGTCACCGACGGGATAAAAAGAGCCTATTAATCAAATAAGAATGGAACTGTTTATGAATGGACTGAATGGAATAAACGCGTTTCAAGTCGAGGAGCTGCGCCCGTCCACTTCACCAGCAGGAGGTTAGCTCTGTTGTGTGACGCATGGCACGAGTCCCGCAGAGGCAGGTGGGCGGGCAGGGGGCTCCAACGGGCCCCAGCCGCTCCGGCCGGGTCCGAGATGTTTACCTCGGGCCGGGTCAGTCCGCCGGCTCAAGACGATGCGGCTGTTCCTGCTGCCGGTCGTCG